TATACTGTGCCTTTTTGCACTCCTTCAACCTATTTTATTCTCATGTAATAATGAATGCAGTTCAAGTTTGACAATATACCATTTCACACATCAAGCCACTTGCAGCCAGACGAATCTGAAGATGAAACTAAACTCAAGAAAGTTGCACTGTGGTTACCCCTGTATGGGCCTACGATCAGATCTTGTTGAAACGTCAGTTCTCGTAAGGACACTAACTGAGCCATGTCAGTACCTAGATAGGTGACCGCTTGGGAATACAAGTTGCTGTAAATTTGGATGTGTGGCTGGTATAATGAATAACGGCGAAGAATGGGAATTGCCAGAGACGAGTTCTAAATCAAGTTGAGTTCGTTTCATTAACTTACGAACAAATAACCTTTGACGATCATAAATCAAAAAGAGACATGATCGTTCAAATGTGTCACACACGCGTTCCTACCAACACGCACTGTGCCAGCCCCATTCCTTCCGATCAATCGGATGAAGGCTGAAGAAGTAGAAGAATATTTTAAAAGATGCATAAGATAAAACTACACAGGTTTTGTTAACAGAAAAACGTCATTCTTCAAAATATTTCAAATTATCATACACATTTCATGTTCCAGGTGTTCGTCTTCAATAACCGACGCCTGAACCAACTGCGCCACATATGACTATGTCTGGACAGGAGCCAAAACTAATTTCTCGTGCTCTAAATTAGTTGCTCTTAACCGGCGACTCCATGTCCACAAGAGGCATGTAATTTTTAATGGAGGGGGAGCACAGAAAAATTTTGGGAAAAATGAAGAATTATTAGAGATTACACTTCCTGACGAATGCAAGTCTACTTACATTATTTACATTATTCAGACTGTTATCCCCATCTTCATTGCCATATTAACAACGTTTCGGCCGTTAAACGCTCTGGCCTTCTTCAGGTGATTGGAATTAAAATTTTCTTGACGACATACGGCCCAATGGATAAAGATGTTGGTTAGATCCAGTGACTAGACGCAAAGAGTTGTGTGTTCAATACCAGACCACAGCAGTAGTAAACCATAGCTTGGAGAGTTGAGTTAATCGGAGATAAATGAGACATCCGGATGAGGTATGGCACGTGGAACTAGAACAATCTATCCCGGTGGACGAAATACAGGGTTCGTTCGAAATTTCAATCACCTGAAGAAGGCCGGAGCGTACAACGGCCGAAACGTTGTGAATATGGCAATGAAGATGAGGATAACAGTGCGAATAATGTAAATAATGTAAGTAATCATAATACCTCATCTCAGAAAAATATGCAGAGATATAGACAGAGAAATGTGACATAAAGGCCGGTTCGTACAACGGCCGAAATGTTGTGAATATAGCAATGAAGATGAGGATAACAGTCCGAATAATGTAAATAATGCAAATAATCATAATACCTCATCTCAGAGATATAAACAGAGGAAGAGACAGAGGAATAGACAGAGAAATAGGACATAAAGGCCCGAGCGTACAACGGCCGAAACGTTGGGAATATGACATTGAAGATGAGGATAACAGTACAAATAATGTAAGTAATCATAATACCTCATCTCAGAGATATAGACTGATATTAAATGTAGGTCTTATGATGACTTGAAATTTCGAGACGTCAATATAAAAAAAGAACTTAAAGCAAGTATTTAATGTATTTTCCCGGGACTCATTATTCTGATCTTTTTACATCAGATTTCGAAAAAGAACCTTCAGGGAAATTAGATAAATGTTGCAGAACACACGATTTACAATAAGATGATGATCAAATAAGTACTTTTTGAGCGCCACGCGTTCAATGAAAATGGACATGGTGCTACAACACTGTTACCGTCTGTTTTAGTACTGGTAAACTTAAATTAAGCAATTGAAAGATATTTTTGAGCTTTATTTACAAAATGACCTCCATTTATTTATTGAATGATCCAGTCAAAGCCACAATTTCGAAATAGCCACTTATGTTAATATACATTTATCCACGATTCAAGTTGAATTTCACACGTTTTTAAAATTAATTTTCATTATTAATTATGCTCAGTTGTTAATAGAAAATACAATAATTTTCAGTTATTTTTTTATGTTTTTAGTTTGCATTTATTTAAAATGTATGTGTAGAATATTCGTTTTTTATTTTGCATAAGTTTTTTTTTTTTTATTTTGTAGAAATATTTTAATTTGTGAGTGCATTTATGCGAAGAAAGTCTTTTAGCCGAAATAAAAAAAAAAGTTTATTTAACTAGTTTGCTTTTTAAGACAAAGAATTTTGATGTTTATATGAAGAAATATCATTGTTCATTTGTTTCAGAAATTGTAAATTAAGCATTTGTAAAAGTAATATAAAATGTTATCGATAAACTGGAAACAGAAACATAGCTGCGAATGATTAAGTAATGATAATACATATTGGAATTAAAACAGCCACTATAACAGAGTGAGAGCTTACAGCTACACATTGTGTTGATATATTATTGTTTGTATTGTTTTGTTTTAATATTGTTTGTAATGTTTTGTTTTAATATTGTTTGTTTTGGTTTATTAGTGTTTGTATTGTTTTTCTTTAATATTCTTTGCATTGTTTTGTTTTAATATTGTCTGTTTTGTTTTGTTTTAATAGTGTTTGTATTTTTTAATTTTTATATTCTTTGTTTAGTTTTGTTTTATTATTGTTTGTAAATTTTGTTTAATTATTGTTTGTATTGTTTTATTTAAATTAATTTTTGTATTGTTTTGTTTTAATATTCTTTTTATTGTTTTGTTTTATTGTTGTTTCTATTTTTTGTTTTATTATCGGTTGTATTATTTTGTTTTATTCTTGTTTTCTTTAAATTATTGTTTGCATTGTTTTGTTTTAATATTATTTGTATTGTTTTGTTTTATTATTGTTTGTATTGTGGTGTTTTACGGCTTATCAACCTCAATGGGTTATGTAATGACCACAAGATTTTTATTGCTGTTAATATTTTTTTCCAAATATGTATTGCTGCTAATAGATTTTTTTTTCTTCAAAAATGTTTTATTGCTTATATTTTCTCCTTCAAAATTGTATTGTTGGTAATAACTTTTTCTTCAAAATTTTATTGCTGGCAATAATTTTTACAAAAATATATTGCTGGTATTAAAACCTATTTTTACACATTCATTGTGTTTTGACACCAGTTTGGGGTTAACTATTTTCCCATAGTTGGGACCTAAACAGGTGCTACCACTCCGGGTCAGGGTGGACCTGGGAACATCAGCAATTAAGAGGTGGTTCCACGCTCCTCAAAACCTCCTGATCAGAGACCTTGCTGTCGGACGTAGTTTATCGTCATACCCAGGACACGGATGTAGTTTATCGTCTTACCCAGGAAGCGGATGTAGTTTATCGTCACACCTAGGACTAGAGAAACATAGTGGCGAGTGAATAAGTGATGATAAATGAATGAGAATTTATTTTTTTCTGGTATGATCGCATTTAATACTTATAGGCTGAAACGGCTGAAGCCTGACTCAATGGTAGTATGATTGTTTTTTACTCACGCGGGGCTTTGTTGTTTTGGATCGCTGTTTCCAAAACCTAAGCAGACTATTAAGAAATAGAAAAACTTTGTTAAAAGCAAAGAAAAGAGTCCTGAACTCTTGTGTGAAATCTGTCCTACTGTATCGCAGTGAATGCTAGACAACTTCTTTAAAGATGAAGAAGAGACTTGAAGCTGCCGAAACGTGGTTCTACAGAATGATGCTATGATTATGTGACCAAAGACGAGGTTTTAGAAAAAAAAAGGAAATAAAAAGTTGACTTATACTTAACATCGGGAAGTGGCAGTTGAAATTTCTCGGGTATATAATGAGAAAAGAGTTTTTGGAAAATTTGTTACTCACAGGACAGATTGAGGGCAAGATGGATAAAGTCAAGCAAAGACTAACATACTTGACGACCTTGAGAAAATGTATGGCGGAAGAAGGTTTAGAAATACAGAATTTTATTAGAGCTGTAAGAGACATGAAATTGTGGAGAGCCATGATCGCCTACGTCCTGAGGGGGCGCGGCACATAAAGAGTATGTACAGTGAAACGTTTGCATGTCTCACTGTCATCGACCAACATAAAAAAAAAATCGCTTCAAGATATATTGAGGGTTAAAATAAACTTTATTTTATGTCTAAATGAAGAAACGGTGACATGTTTGCGCCTTGAGGGTCGACAGGTCAAAATGTTTGAATGTTTTTTGTTCTAGATCGAGGCCCCAAATCAAGATTCATTGTTTCTTTGGCAGCAATAATTTTAATTTGCTTGAATTTTGAAATGGAGCTTTTTTATTATTAAAAAGGTCACCATCAAGGCGTTTTTCATAATCTTCCAAGAAATAGGAGTCGAGAGTTAAACTCTCACCGAAATCTGTCTCTCTTATTCGGAAACCACGATACATAGAATATTGGGCATGTGTGGTGTTTGTCGATCAAGAACGGTGAATAGGCGAAGAAAATATGCAATGTTTGACCAAAATTAAATTTAAGATGAAAACAACACAATGTTCGTATTGAAAAAAAAAATGAGAAACATCAGTGACTTTGAAAGCTATAGACTTGTATCTCTGGCATTCTTTTGACCATAACATTTGGATAAGTCCGATTCTTTCCCAGAAAAAATCCCATCATATAAGGTTCAGAAGTTGTATTTTTTTCTTCGTCTTCTTTGTTTTCTTTCTTCGGCTTTGAGAAAGTCATCCGTTCTTTGAAAAATGCCCGGGAAAGATTTTCCTTTTTAGGTTTCATGCCAATTATATCTGAATAAGATTTGGGGGGTGTCTTGGACCTGGCTATTCGGTGAACGCGGTCTTGAACTTTTAGATACTTCATAAAGGGCAACTCCAACTCAAGGGAATAGAGATTGTCAACAGCTTCCTTCATTTTGTTGATACCGTACGTTTCCGGAGGCGTTGTGTAATTTTTCCTTTTTTCTGTTATGTTTTTCAGAAGCTCCTCTCTATCTACTCGAAGCAGCTTTGATTGTTGGCAAACCGTCGACCGGGAGAATGTGTATCGGTCGTTCTTGTTAAGGCCAGCCAACAAAGTGACCGATTTGACGCAATCGATCGATTCATCCGACTCCGACTTGCGCGGTTCTACATTGATGTAGGCCATCGGTGGGAAAACGCGTTTCTTTGGGATGATATGTCTCGATGCAGCCGGTGTGTTTGGGGAGCAATGCCTGATGTAAAGTCGGCGGATCATGGGGACGCCATCGAGAATTTCGCGCAGTTCGCGTCGTGTCTCTTGCAGAAGGTGCTGTCTGATGAGGTGCGTATCTATGTTGGTCTCTTTCGAGGCGGGAAATAAGCCACTCACAGAGATAAGGTCGGTCAAAATGCATTCTTTCTTGAAAACATATGGCGAAACAGATTTTGCTGTCATAAGAAAGATATAAAATAAAACAGATTAAATTAAAACGCACACGTACACGATATTCGACACTAGAAATCCTCAACAAACAAACTGATATTTCGTAAGGTAAAAAAAAAATCCTGTAAAAAGATAGAAATACCAATGTTGTTTAGCAGCAAACACATAAGAAAAACAGGACACATTAAACTTTTGCATTTGAACTTGGAATCCAATATCTAATATAAATCTCTTTCAATATTTATACAGTATTCATGATACTGTCGAAACTACCGAATCCTATAGATACTATATTTTTCACTATACTTACATACCTACACCCTTGTGCAAATTAATTGAAACAGCCGCTTTAGTTTCCTTTCTTTCACCATATGGTCAATATTAGAACCACTGGATTGCCAGTGTGCAATCGATTTCTAATTTTTTTCCCAAATTAGGTCATTTGCAGTGTATGCAGTAATATGCATCTATTTTCGAAATGTATGATGAAATTTGTTTGGCCTTGAAAAATATTGCCTCCCCCGTGATTACATCAGATTTTTATCAAGCCAAGTCACTATTGTCTCGACTATCGATTAGTTGTCCTACGACCATTGTCTACGACAGACGTTATTCACAGAAGGCGTACGAAAATTGTAACGCTGCACGAAGACATTGGCATGCCTGACAGAGAGATCGCAGACTGTACGACGAAAAAGAACTTTGTGACGGCCATTATAGACGTGTGGTACCGTGACACTAAAATCAATGGGGACTGCTCCAAATTAGTGGATTCCATGCCAAGTCGAGTCAAAGAGCTTCTAAAAAATAAAGGGGGGGGCATACGAAGTACTAACACGTACACTGGGTCATGTTTCACTGGGAAAATACGAAAAACAGAAATAATAACGGAATTATTTGTTTTGTTTCAATTAATTTCCACGAGCATGTATGATGTACATGGTAACCTACAAAAAACAGGGCATTTTAGATCTATTATATAATGAAAAAATATTAACTAACGTATAATTTTTTTTTTCAATTTCAACACTACATCTAACAGTTGTGTTTTTATTCTGTTTTAAGCTACTAATTTTCTATCCTTTCCTTTTGTTTCAAATAAGTGTAAAAAAAAATTCCAGCAATTAAATAAACTGCACCAAATTTCATCGTTTATGTGGGACACCCTGTAGTTTAAGCTATAAATTAGACGTAATAAGAAAATTAACGATAGTAATAATAAAACTGAACAATTATAAAAATACAGAGGAATAAATAGTCTTCTACGTATCATGTCCCTGTAAAACGTACTACTACTGTACTGTACTGATGCGGCATTCACCCTGGGCGGATTGAGCCGGCTTCTTCCTGTTATGAGAAGAAGATTCTTGGGATAAATTACAGATGTAGGGTACCCAGGCCTACTCGGATAACGTTCTTGCTTGCCGCGGGGTTCCCACAGACGCAGAGACAGGAACGACCAGAAGCCGCCTGTTACCGATGCAGACGCTCCTTGGATTTTTCACCAGAGCCCTTGTTAGCCGGCGTGTGTGTCAGACCTGTCCGCCTTGGGTGGCCCTACCAGGAACGAAGTAAAACGTGGGCGCTCATGACTCTCTACATCATCATGTTCTTTGTAGTCTCCTAATCTCTGTTCTGGCAACCATTTATATCAGCTCGTTAAGTAGGCGATGCAGTGTTTTCGTCTGTCCTTCTTGCCTTCAATAGTAAAATTGTTCTTAACATAAAACTTAGTGAATTCAGCATTCATTTTTGTCGGTTAACGGCAATATCAGGTTGAAACACCGATTTTCGTACGATGACCGAACTTAAGCAACGTCGTGACTGGTCAGTACCTAGAAGGGTGACTATTTGAAAATACCAACGACCTGATTGATTACGGGACTCGTGAGTGCGATCTGCTCCCAGAAATTATACTTCTCATCGATCTATGAAACGTAACAAAATATTTTAGCAATATGTGACATTATAGATATTCTAAAGTAAATGAGGACCTTGGAAAACCGTTAATTCTATATATATATATATATATATATATATATATATATATATATATGTGTGTGTGTGTGTGTGTGTGTATAATTATGTTCCATCATCATGCGAAATATTTCTGAAATTTAAAGAAATACGTTATTCCAAAAAAAATTTCGCTTGATGATGGAACAGAGCTTACTTTAACTCAATTTAATTCAAATAATTATATTGAATTTTCGGCTCTTGTTTTGAAACATGAGACCTCTTATGTCGCGAGTTGGAATCATATTTTTAAATAAATAATTATATTTATGCTCTACTTTTGTATCGAGCACTATTTTTTTAAAATGATAACTAAAATACTAAGGAACTTTGGATTATTTACCTAAGCAGTTCCTTCCTATTTTCTATATATTTTCACACACACACACACACACACACACACATATATATATATATATATATATATATATATATAATAACTGACAAAATGGCAAAATATATGATAACTGACAAAATGGCAAAATATATGAAACTTAGGAGAACTATGATCAAACATGACGACCAAATTAGAGAATTTCTCCCCAAAGCAAGTAATAACGATAGCGAACACACAGCCAAAAATCGCATACACATTTATTACAAAAACCAAATGCATATTAATTAGAAACAAGATGAATCTTCTCTAAGGCATATTGTAAAGAAATATACTGCTCTAATTGATCCGAATAAAAAAAAATCAAATTTATTATCTATTATAAAAAAATTAAGGTAGCCAACCTTATCCTCAAAAATAACAACACACCAGCTAAGTCAAAATTACAAATAACGAACATTATCTATGATTTCAAATGCCCCTTATGGAACTGTGTTCCTGATCAAACCGGACTCATAAATAATTACATCGGTTACACAACCACATGCTTATCCAGACGTCTTACGTTGCACCTATCTGATCACAGCTCCATTAGAACCCATTTAAACAGACACACAGATTTACCCGATTCCATTAGGAACATACTAGTAGAAAACACAAATATATTAACTGCATCCACCTGCCAAAAAACTAAAAATAATGGAAGCTTTAATAATAAAAAAGAAACGCCAACTCTTAACAATATTAACTACGAACAAAGCCACAATGTGCTAACCGTATTCGGAAATTAAAAACATCCCTACCACACACTAAGACATACACAGAACACAGACACTTAATTAAGCTGAAAAATCGAATCATCCTTGATAATCGCTAAAGGTGTAGCCGAAAGCGCTTGGAAATATAAATAATTTGGACAGTTCTTACACACCCTTTGTACAGAAAAGAAAGCTCTTGTAAGCACACAAAAAATATTAAATGAAAGCTTAACCGGTGTACCTTGTCTGTCGTTTTTAATGAAACACACACACACACACACACACACACACACACACACACACACACACACATATATATATATATATATATATATATATATATATTAAAATATAGTTTTATGGTATGCTATATTTATTGGTTAAGGTGCTTAATACCAGAGATAGAACTTATGGAAATATAAAAGTCAACACCCAGCGAGGACAGTCTGTTTATTTCTTATACGTAATCGTCATTGTCTGGATATTGGATATAAACATGAAATAAAATGTCCTCGCTGTTTTTGACTTCGTTATTCACTTTTTATATTTATAGATATGTAGTTTGTTATGGGTAAATTGTCGCCATTTTACATCGTTAATTTCCCACGTTCGCATTGTTTGTTGTTGTTTTTTTTTTACTTTGTCGACTGCATAGTATAGTGGAGTCAGTTGGGTACCGTCTGCAAGAAAACGAGTATCATGACTCATTTCACTTGAGTCAAGAGCTGGGGGTGATGGAACATTCTATGTCAAGTAAAACAACTCTGCACCATGTCACACAAGTAGGAGAAGCCAGTCATGGCTGTCAGACAATTTCTGCGACCATATTATCTCTTAAATTTGACCACCTAACTGCTTAGACTACAACCGCCTTGATTATTATGTGTGGGGCGTAGTTGAACGAGGGACCAACAAAACTCCTCGTAACACCAAAACTTGAACTGAAGGGAGAAATTATGGCAGTATTGACCAAATTAAACAAGGAGACTGTTCAGAAGAGTAGCAGGAGATTCCGAAGTCGTCTGGAGGCCATGGTTAAAGCCAATGGCGACTTTATTGAATAAATTTACTCTAGTATTTCAAGATATTTTTGCGTAATTTTGGTAAATATATCTGTTAATTTGAGATGTCAGTGTTATTTAAAATCTATACGTTTCATATATTGGGAGTTATATGTTCATATATACAAGTCGGTGCGTGTATATATATGTATATGTATACAGTTGTGTGTGTTTATATATAGAAGCTCTGACCGAAACCAAATCGGTTGTGTTTCGGTCCACGCATGAGGCGTTCGGTTGTCTAGTTGCACTGAGGATGAATTGAGTAGCTGTGATATAGCGAATCAGTACTGTCTGCAAATGACATAATTTAGCTCTTGGAAATATATGTTCAATTGAGCACTGTTGAATGACAAGCTAATTCTCAAACCAACGGTGACCTGCGTAAATGCGAAGTTCTTCAGTGAAATGAATGGAGCACTTTGGTTGCTTGACGTTTGTTTACGTTTGTAAAAACAATAGGCTAGATTTGGCTGATCAAGTGAAGATGACTCAGTGGTAGAAGCTCTAACTGTCACCTAAGTGGTTGGGTTTCGATCCGGGCTTAAGACATTCGGTTGTCTAGTCGCACTGAGTACAGTACTGTCTGCGAATGACGCACACACACACATATATATATATATATATATATATATATATATATATATATATATATATATATATATATATATATATATATATATATATATATATATATATATATATATATCTGCAGACAGTACTTCGAATGACATATTTGGTATGTATCTATATATATCTATATATACATACCAAATCAGTTGGGTTTCGATCCTGGCTTGAGCCATTCGGATGCACTAAGGAGCTCATACAGCGAAACAGTACTGTCTGTGAATGTCATATATTTATTTTCATTGATCTTTCAACCAATTGTCATCAAACTTGACAATTACTTTATAAATGTATTCTCTTTTACATCCCTGGTAGCACACTCATAAATTGCATTTCAAAAACTCCAAAATAATTGTGGTCTGAAGTGGGTCTTCATGTTGCCTGTTTTACACCTTCATGTCTTCGGCTAAATTCGATTGAATAAATACAGACTACTTCTGTTACATCAGTAACTGCATTAATTGAAAATTTTTTTAATGAAAGTAATTACAGTAATTAAATAAGATAAACTCTAATCGTGATGCTGTTTTTGCTCCATTCTAATTGAACGCTTTTTCTGATCGATCATCAGGGTATGGCTGTTAGTAAAAAAAATCCAATATGTCATTATGCAGCTACTGCATGGATTATGCAACTGTTGCATTCATATATTGCAGAGAGATGCGCGTAGGATCTTAGCAGTATTCTGTTTCTTCACCTGAATTTCATAAGTATTTTTCTGACGTAATCATTTGAAAACTGCTAAATTGCTCCGTGTTATTTGGGGCTTTCACGCCTGGGATTTCTCTTTTCAATAAAATAAAGGTTCTCGATTCTATGCTCTAACTACTAAGCTTTAAATCAAATAGCACTTATCCCAGAATTATACAGAAAAATCAAAAAGAAAACAGAGAAGTCAAACTTACGACCTGACATTTTATCTGATATACTTACCGGAGACAGGCGTGTTGTTACGGTTAGTCATAACTGCTTCGGTTTTGTGAAATCGTCAGGTTATGTCGAACAACTGAAATGCATTGAAATTCCCTCGATGTTAAGATGTCTAGTAGAAAGACAAGAAGTTCAGATAGTAAGAAAGAGAGATCGAAATAGAAAAGAGAGAGGGAGAGAGAGAGAATTATGTCTGTTTTCGCAGGGATAAGCATCAACATTTGGAATCGATGGCACTGCCAAAACCTCGAGTTTTGCTCGGAGTGGGACTATGGTCGGATTAATTTACAAGGAGTTTGATCCATTTGAAAGTGGAGTCAGTCGGGGCAGCGGATTAGTTGGGATTTGGTCGGATGAGGATGAAAAATCTTGGATTTCTTCAATGTCTCAATCGATTTTTCTTTTATATATTTTGATCGTTGTTTTTGTTTTTGTCAACAAATCGTAACCGTCTCCTGTTTGCAGAACTCCAGGGGCTTAATTGACGGATACCCACTTTGTCTCAGTAGAGGTTTCTCCAAATGCGATATTAAGAGAGAGAGAGAGAGGGAGAGAGAGAGAGAGAGAGAGAGAGAGTTTGAAGAAACAAAGAAGATAAATAAAGAACAAAACAATTTGAAAAAAGAAAAAGTAAAAGGAAGGAGAAAAGAGTAATGATTATAAAAATATTACAGAGAAAAAAGAAAGAAAGAAGATAGATAAGTAGATGGAAAGAATGAAAGAAAGAAAGAAAGAAAGAAAGAAAGAAAGAAAGAAAGATACACACAAGTAAGAGAAATACATTTATAAAGAAAGAATTATAGATAGAATGTTATAAATTAAAATAAGAAGAAAATAAACAGAGAAAGAATGAAAAATGAAAGAAAATAAGACGTAGAGATAGAAGCAGAAAACGCTAGAAAGAAAAAAGATGGTAAAGAAAATGCAAAAAATATATAAATAGATTTAAATATAGAAGGAAAGAAGAAATATACGGATAGAATGATATCTGGAAGAAAGGATAAATATGAAACAAAAAAGAAAGAAAGAAAGAAAGAAAGAAAGAAAGAAAGACGAAAGATGATTGGGAGAGAGAAAAACATGCAAATGGAAAGCGGAAAAAAACGAAAAGTAAAACATATGAAGCGTGCAGACGATCAAAATGGAAGAGAAGGAATCTGGAAGAAGAAGCAAGGGAAAGACAAGAAAATATAAAGAGGAAAGAGAACGTAAAGGGAAGGGGAAAAGAACGTGAAATAGAGGAGGAAAGAAAGAAATAAGGCGGGGACAAGAGAGAAAAACGGAAAGAGTCAAATAAACGTTAACAATGGGAAAGGAAGGGGAAGAGGAAAAGAAAGACAATAAGAAAAGGAAAGAAAGAAAAAAGAAAGAAAGAAGGAGCAAGCAAGGAAAGAAAAAGAGAAAAAGAGAATCAGAATATAAAATAGGGGAAGAAGAAAAAATGGAAGGAGACAAAATAAAGGAAACAGAGGAGAGGGAAGGAGAGAAAAAAAAGAAAAGAAATATAGAATATAAGGAGAAAAGAAAAGAGAGAGAGAATAGATTCGGTTGCAAAAATAATGAACAGGATTTGAGTAAGCAGAGAAGGAAAACAAAAAAAAAAATAAATAAACGGACAAGAAAAAATGAAAAGCGAAAAAGAATGAGTGAAAGACAAATGAAAACAAAAAGACATCCAAAATACAGAATATATATATATATATATATATATATATATATATATTAACTGATTTAAAATATGTTTTTCACTACACAGTAATAACCATGTTTCAAAAAAGGAAGCTAAAAGTTTCGAATAAAATTCGCTTGAGGATGAAATGGAACTAATGTTTTTAATTTAATTACAAAATTAAATTCGGAGCTTTTATATATAAAGAGATAGATAGATAGATAGATAGATAGATAGATAGATAGATAGAGAGAGAGAGAGAGAGAGAGAGAGAGAGAGATAAATATGAATACATATAAAATTAATGACAAATTGGGAAAAATTCTGTGACGGATATCGTCTTTTTTTCTATCACCTATAATAATTGTCCCAAGAGATACATAAGAGAAACCTCGAGAAATATATAGAAAATTTCATATGAAAACGAAAGGCTCTTTTACAAAACCACACAGTCAATGCATTAGTTGCTCAACATAAAGTGGCGAACCATAATTTCGTTCTAAATAATGCTACTTTATTAAAAAAAGAGAAACTAATCTAGCAAGAAATTGTATAGAAAGTATTTTAATCACTAGAACATCTGCTGTTAATTTGCAGCCAGGTCCTTGCAACATTTCGTCTTTCTTGACAGATCTTCTATTATCACACAGAGGTATACTTATTAACAAAAGTGATTAACAGAAATGCAAATTTATAAAGAAACTATTAGGTTGGTGCAAAAATAATGTCGTTTTTTATGTTAAGTTGAACGTCAAAAAATGACATTATTTTGCACCAACCTAATAAATGTAATTGACTAGACTGTATGCCCAGGCTTATCTATAAAAAAATATTTAAATTTAAAAGTTTAAAATTTCTACATTCAAACATTTCCTATTTGGGTATAATTATAAGGAACAGGTGCGTTTTATACCCACCTTAATTTCATAGTCGGATATAATTAAATCTGCAAAAATGTTACTTTCGTCTGATGATGTCCTAAAGAACAAAACGCGTCATAAAAAAGAGAAAAATTCACTTTGTCATGAATTTTTATAACATTGTTCTGATATATGAAATTTTATATATCATATTCTCTCTCACACACATATAAAATTTTATATATCATATTCTCTCTCACACACATATAAAGTTTTATATATCATATTCTCTCTCACACACATATAAAAAATTATATATCATATTCACTCTCAGCCACACACATTATATATATATATATATATATATAAACAAATATATGGATATAGATCCGACAGTATGAAGAAAAATATACTGAAAAAACAAACAAAAATCCTAATATGCGATTATGCTGTTTTAATGTTTAATGTCAACATCGGACAAAATTCTTTTCGTTTTTCATTCAAAATACTCAAATTTTAGGAATACGTTTTCACAACATCGCCCACGTGACGACGACGTGATAATATTTAAAAGGAACGCTGATCTTATAAAAGATTTCAGTTATCTGTTTGGATTGGTATTGCTTTTATGTCCATCGCCTTTTCATGTTGAATTGTATATGGTCTATGTTAATTATGTTTTATGAATATGTCCTGAAGATGGTCTGTTAGACCGAAACATCCGACGCTGACATTAACATTAAAACAGCATAATCGCATATTAGGATTTTTGTTTGTTCTTTCAGTTTATTTTTCTTTATATATATATATATATATATATATGTAAATCACACACACACATAAACACAAACACTTTTCTGGACATAAAGTGTGTAAAAAACTGTTCAAATGTTATATATATATATATATATATATATATATATATATATATATATATATATATATATCCGAACGCTTTCGGATATTCCATTAGCCATTAAAAGGATTCTTTTGGTTTTTTTTTTATTGTTAATTGAATGTGTAGATTTTTTGTATATATGTTTATTGAATGATATGAATATCTTTTGCAATGCACAGTCAGAAAGTTATAGCCTTGTTCATAATTGATGTTAGTGAGTATTGGCTTTTTCTTTTTTTTATTAATATTGTTCCCGTGATTTTTATTCCATTTTACAAGTGGAAGAAACTATTATACTTGTATTTCCTTGTGGTGTGGCCAACAGAAATATTATTTAATCTATGGGAGAAACAAAAACAACATACCTGGCCACATACAAAATTCCGAAAAATCCTCGTTGAAAATACAACTATACTTAAACATGAAAACAATAAACAAAAACTAAAAATTCTTGAAGCTTTATACATAAAACAGTTGAAACCTAACCTGAACAAAATAAACTATGAAATCTCTACAAATATTCTTAAATGCCTATAATTGCTAACAGAAACCATTGGTTTATACCAACGGCTTCCCCATACTTAATACTTCTCGAATTCACTCTCGCGCGGTCATGTGTGACGTTACGAGCTGCGGTGCGATTTTCGCTTCCAGCGTTTGTATGCACGAGTTTGTCGTTGCTTGGAAATCTTCCATGTAAACAGAAACAGACTATCATCACATTCTTGTCCGTGTATTGTTTAATATATTGTAATGTAATTGCCATCTTTGATAATGGCTTATGTAAGAGGAAAGCTTTGATAGGATTAAAAAATTTGTATCAATATCGTGAATTTCTTTCTTCTTTCAATGATAATGTTATTAAGCTTATCAGACTATATGAAAAGAATTTACATAAAATAAATAGACAACACTTGTCTATATTATTTAATGAAACATGCATCAATGAAAAAATGCTGCCTAAATACACATATCTTATATGTATATATATATAAATTATCTATTTATTTTTATTTTAATCCTCTCGAATTCTCTAATCGGATTAAGATTAATTGATAGCTGTGAATTTTTGTGTAAACGCGCTTGAAAGGTTCTGTGTTATAATTGTTTATGCGTATATACAAAAAAATCACAACTATCCATTACATTAATTTTTGTGTCAGAAATTAATCCCTGAAGATGATCCCGAATGAAACTGAAATACTTGGGAAAATAAAAGAAATGAAAAAACTTCGACGCCCTCCTTAATGAATTAAGAAGTCGATCAGAGAATTAGATAAGATTCAAATAAAAACAACAAATCGACATAACATGTCCAGATTATTTAACCAAACATGGTTGAATAAAGATCTGCTACCTATATATATATATATATATATATATGTATATATATATATATATAATCAAAGTTAATTATCTACAAAGCATTTAGGGAATATTTGTTTTACGAATTAGTTTTTATATAGAAGAGTGACAGATATGACCCCAAAATCAATATCGAAATACCGACATCAATATGCATAAATCCATTGATTCGAGGTAGATTCGAATCATATATATATATTGCTAGATTTGTATTTTATATATATATATATATATATATACACGCACACAGACACACACATATTCATTGTTTCACTTGTTCATATCATTGTGCGCAGCCTGATTTTTGGATTCGCAGCTTACAAAGACGACTTTGTCGGGTTCAACTTTCTCTTGTGTCAACTCGAGACTTAAGTCTGATCACAGTGTAGCTGATCTCTTTGCATTATCTGTGTATCTTGAGCGCTGATTCGACATGACCTCAGGATCAGCACTGAGCCGGATCGAAATGACACAACACAAAAGAACCTTCTATTCAACCTATCAGTCAGTCAGGAAAAAGCAGAACTGGTAAGAGATCAATCGGCTGGACAAATGACAGGGAATGACACAAAGATCACATGACTGGTGTAAGTAAGAAGTAAGAAAAAGAAAACCGATATTAGAGCGAGGAGTTTAGTAGACAAATAATGGTCACAAATTAAATCTCAAAATTGCAACTGAAATAGATTTTGAGATGTTGTCTACGGCTGCTAACAAAATTTCAATATTTCTTTTTATGTTATCAATAGTAAAAAAGAAAGAAAGCAAAACATTTACGTATGGAAACAGGGCCTTAACTTGAAAATGCCACCGGTCCTATTTAAAAACGTATTCCCGCTCCACGAATAAAGATCAACTTTTTGCTGCTTTCTTAGTTTTCCATAGCAGATACGTTGCCGTTATGGAAAAATCACAAACGTATATGACGTCACAATATTCTTTTGTTCCAGTTACATATATATATTTTTTTCATTATTTAAGTCCCGCATTAACTAATGTCTCTACCTATATTCAGTGGTAAAGGAAATAACTTTAAGCCTCCCCTACCACCTATTCCCACTTTCGCCCCCACTAATTCCCTTTGCATTAGTCTAATCAGCTGTTGTCGGAAATACTGCCTGTCCAGTAAGGACACGTTGAACTTCCAGTGTCCAGCCTATTCTAGGCCTACTACCTAATATTATCCGCACAGAGGCACATATATATATATATATATATATATATATATATATATATATATATATATATATAATGAAAAGGCTTAAAACCACTAATATCAATATATATGTACATATATATATATATATATATATATATATATATATATATATATATATATATATGATCCGAATAGTGGAACGTGGGACAATCTAGTAAATCTAGGTCGACTTTGTGGCACAAGGTCGAAGGGGATGTTGAGGAAGGTTGCTAATCACTGATTATCCTTATCCTAGCTAATCTGATTCGCGACCCATTCGTTCATTACACTTTACACAGACACCTCAAGAATTCATTCACCCGACATACATCACAAAACCGGATACTAAAATGTCTCTGTGGGGTACTAAAATGAAGGGAAGAGGTTAGTAAAATATGGTGGGGGGTACTAAAAAATACTCATGATATAAAATATTTTCCAGTACATACAAATGTCTTTTTTTTCCTTTTCTTAAAATAAAGGGGAAGAGCATTAACCCAATACCGAAAATAAAATATAACAAAACATCTAAGCTAAAAATAAAATCTGTTCTTAAGACCCGCCTCAAAAAAAAAAAAAAAATGAGAGTGGTTGCTGTATTCTGCCGATAGGCAAAATCAACACGCTCACTCGCTAAAATTGAGGGAATGAAAAAAATAAATAGTGGAGAGAGAAAATCAAATGCTGACCCAGTCAAGATAAAAAGAGGGAAATAAGGAAAAAAAATAAACTGGTGTGGTTGGGAAACTTGACTTGTATTATAAAGAAAAAAGAATGCCTGGATTAGGCCTGGAACAACAATTACACCCATTAACTAGGCAAACAAAGTGTCTAGCTTAACCAGGGGTGTTGTTCAACAGGACACCGCCCCATTGCGTCAAAAAGGGCACTAAAAATAAAATCAAAGCTGTCCTCGTTCACGCAAACCAGGATCGCTTCCTTTATGATGATAGTGTTGATGACAACATTCACCGCCAGCATTCAGGTTCAGGACTAAAAGCTT